TGAACACCACTTGCTCACACTGCTGGTGAGAGCATAACTTCTTACTGTTTCCATGGAGGGAAGTTTGGCAATAACAGTGTATCCTTTTGGGGGCATCCTCTGTGGAGGAGAGGAAATAGTCACTTTTATCCACTGGTAGTCAGTATATGCACAGGTACAAACAACTTTTCTTCCCCGCCTGACAGCTACAGCCTGTGAGATTAGGAAATCTCCAATTCTGCTCATGAAGAGAAGGCAGATTCTGCTGTGTGGGCCCAGGGGACATCTGATGGCTTCCTTTATTTTGAGATTTTTTTCCAGTTTTGTTGAGAAATTATTTATTGAGAAATAGTATTTCTCACTGTATAAGCTTAAAGTATACAAGATGATGGTTTGATTTACAAATGTTTTGAAAGAATTACCACAATAAGTTCAGCTAACATCCGTCTTCTCATATAGATACAAGAAGTCAAATGTCAGAGAGGGGGCAAGATAACTCATCCACTTTCTGTCTCAGGGGGTCAAGCACTGCAAATATTCAGTCCAATTTTTTCTTTTTTTAAATGGGAACCAGGTGTTGTTGTTGTTGTTTTCATTGTTGTTCTTGTTCAAAGCAGACAGGTCCCCAAGGAAACAAGGTCCTTCTTCAACAGACTGGAAGGGAAAGAGCACTTCTGGATTTAATACTTCTTATACCTTCTGGGACATTTTGTGTCCTCCCAGTGTGTCCCCAGTGGCCAGCAGCACACTCCATCCCCTTTCTGTGCCAGCTCCGTCCCGGGTGCCCCAAAAGCACGCAGCCACACCGACGCATCTGTTTTTTCCATTTCTATATACATCCATTCTATGCCTAATGATGCATGGGGTCAGGCCATGTGACTATGGTTTATATCATCACTATGAATGCCATGTTCAGTTAGGAATATCTGAGACTATGATATTAATAAGGTTAGCTACTCAAAACTACCAAAATTTCTGTATGGGCCAGATGAGTAGTCATCTTATGATATAAATCAGTGGATCACATAGCAGAGGAAATATTACCTATTTGTAATGAAACTTATAGCAGAAAAGATAATGGACATTTGACATGTATGCAGTAGGTTGTCGAACATTGAAATTCATCACCAATTACCTATTAGATGGGGCGCTTGGGTGGCTCAGTCAGTTGAATCTGCCATCCGCTCAGGTCATGATGTCAGGGTCCTGTGATGGAGCCCTGTGTCAGGCTCCCTGCTTAGCAGAGAGTGTGCTTCTTCCTCTCCCTCTGCCCCTCCCCCCCTCTGTGTCTCAAACAAGTAAAATCTTTTAAAAACCCCAAATTACCTATTAGAGATTGTTCATTATCCTAAGATATCGGAGTATCTTTTGTAGCTTTGGCACATGTAAATTTTGAGATGGACTTGAAAAGGTAGGTTGGAAACAAAGTTTGGAGAAGTTTTGAACGGCTGAGGATTTGGGGCTTTATTCACATTGCAATGAGGACTCAGAAGGTGTTTGACTGGAGTAACTTGGTAAGAGCTGAACTATATTTGAATGCATGATCTAATATATGGGCATGCCCATGGACTGCTAGACAACATTATCAATGAACTGAAGAAACATGATGCCTTAGCCATCCTATGAAATCTGAGAAAAAGGCAAATTAAGTGATAAATTAAATGTAAATTTGTCATCACATCCCATCACCCAAACTAACGGAACCTTGTTTCTATGAATGCCACCATTAAAAGAAACCTATCAATAGCAGACTGATGGTCTGATTTCACTGGAACATTTCATTGTACTGAGACAAAATCATAGCAGTTCAATGGAAACTTTGTGGGGTAAATTTACGCCAATATGTTAGATATTAATTAATTAGTATTCTAGGCTATAGGGAGAAGAATAAAACTCTCTAACTTGCTGCTGTGTCACTTTCTCACTGATCCAAGGTCTGAAGAAAAGATTAAAAACTCTGTATATGGAACACATTTATTCAGAAGTATACTTTATTTCTTCTAGTACTTGAAAATAAGGTTGTTTCTTACATAGGGACATCTATCCCATAAATTTCCACCTTCCTACTCTCAGTGATACACTAAAAAACGGTGGGGGGTTGGAGCTGAGTTACAGCCAAATCAAGAAAGAATATTTTCTTCCCCTCTCTACTTTTCTACTTCCTAAATGCTCTTAGATCCCAATAAGCAAAAAATCCTTAGAATTCCAGGCACAGGGGCACCTGGGTGGCTCAGTCAGTTAAGCAGCTGCCTTCGGCTCAGGTCATGATCCCAGGCACCTGGGATCAAACCCCATGTTGGGCTGCCCGCTCAGCAGAGAACTTGCTTCTCCCTTTCCCTCTGCCTGCCACTCTGCCTATTTGTGCTCTCTCTCTGTCAAGTAAATAAATGAAATCCTTAAAAAAGAAAAAAAAAAAAAAAAAGAATTCCAGGCACAATGAAGAGTAGCCTTGTAAAGCACTTAGGATCCTCTAGTCAAACATCTTCATTTTTTGCAAGTGAGGAGTGTCAGTTCTATAGCACACAGAAATAACAGAGGCAGTGCCTTATAACTTCAACTCTCATTTCAACACACCAGGCTTCCTCTCTGTATATTCAACAAGCTACCACATGGGAAGAGGAGATGTCGCTAATTAACTGAATTCAAGAGTCTGGTGCAGTCATCAGGCCCAGGATTTGTGTTGTATGAAATGGAGAAACAAGTCAACCATGGCAAAAGTCAGAAGTTGGAATGAAGGCTCGACGCTGGTTGAGTAAGAGAGAATTAGGCTATTCTGAAGGACGGTGGGGGGAATGAAGCTTTCAGCCGAACTGGATAAGAGAGCCTCTGTGGCCAAAAGTAAAATATAATGCAATGTTTAAAAATTACTGCTCTGACGAGGAACTACAAGGCCCTTGGTATTAAATTTGCACAATCCACAAAGCTACCCATAGACAGCATAATTTCCCTTTTCACTGAGTGAATCTCACGGTTACTATCCCACAAGTATTTCTCAGAGGAAGTCTTTGCAGCTCAAGAGCACTGAGCCATAAATCCTATTATCTGTCAGAAATTCAGGGTTTTACTATCTCATACCTAGATTTTCGATGTATGCTCTACTATGTCCAAGACAGTGAAAGGACAAGTCCATAATTATTGTTTGTCATTTTCTTTTTTTTTAAGATTTTATTTATTTATTCATGAGAGACAGAGAGAGAGAGAGAGAGAGAAGCAGGCTCCCAAGGATCAGGGAGCCTGATGCGGGACTCAATCCCAGAACTCTGGGATCCTGACCTGAGCCGAAGGCAGACGTTTAACCATCTCAGCCGCCCAGGCGCCCCTATTGTTTGTCATTTTCTTATGACCTGTTCACATTACTGCAGGAAAATGTAGTGCGAACCAGTGGGCACTATTGGGGCTTCTATCTGGGTTCTTGAGCTCTGCCAGCCTCATCTCAAAAGCGTGTGTATATTCCTTTCACAGAGGCAGCATGAGAGGTAGAGTTCTAATGGGCTTGGAGAGGTGCTGGCAGCTTAGCCACTGTTTAAAGAGAACTCCTTACATTTTTTTTTTTTTTTTTTTTTGAGAGAGAAAGAGAGAAAGCTGGGGGAAGAGAGGGGAGATGAGAGAGGGAATCTGAAGCAGGCCCCAAGCCTGGTGCCAGCTCAGTGTAGGGCTCCATCTCAGGGCCCTGAGATTATGACCTGAGCCGAAATCAAGAGTCGGATGCTTAACCGACTGAGCCACCCAGGTGCCTCAATATTTTTTCTCTATTTTACAATTCTCTATTTTTCTATATTTTACAAAAAATCTGTAAAATAAAATTACACTTACACTAAGATTAGAAAAACAGACAAACTGAATTTTTTCCTCATCAACACTGCATACAGAAGTCATGATTTTTAACTTTTTTTAAAGGTTTTATTTATTTATTTGAGACAGGGAACACAAGCAGGGGGAGTGGGAGAGGGAGAAGCTGACTCCCCCTGAGCAGGGAGCCCGATGTGAGGCTTGATCCCAGGACCCTGGGATCATGACCTGAGCCAAAGGCAGCCGCTTAACCGACTGAGCCACCAAGGTGCCCCAATTTTTAACTTTTTAATTTACTGTAATTTTGATTTTTAACTTCAGCTCTTAGATCAATTCTGAAATATCAGACTCATTCACCTAAATGAATCTATTAACTACATTGGACAAAACTTTTGTATAGAGGATGATTGGATAAGTTTTAGGATGAGGGAAGGGATATACAGGCTTAAAGATTTTGATCTTTCTTCTAAGAGTGATCATAAGTTATATTTAAGGGTTTAAATGGAGTTGCCTCCATGGGTGTGAGAATGGTGCTGATCTCAGTGGTTTGGTATTTTATAAAGGTGACATTGACCCAAATGCAGACAGTGGTAGGAGAAAATATTAGAAAACACACATAGATTATTAAAGGGTTATGTCAGTATTCTAGGTGGGCGATAGAGTTTTCTTGACTTTTGAGAGAAGTGGATGGTTTCAACAGATATTAAGGAGATAAAAGCCACAGGTTTGATAATGGTTTTGACAGGGTTTGAGGGGGAATTCAGTGTCAAGGGATAACTCTCGGGTTTGTTTCTTTAAATATGGGGTAACGATGATGCCATTAACTAAGAATGGGAAGACAGGATGAAGCTCACATTTGGTGATAGTGTTGGAAAAGACCAAATTGGATCTGTACATTCTGAGTTTCATGAGTCTTTGAGATGTTTGAAGGAACTCTCAGGTGTTTGGAATGTGGCAACATCAAGAGCAATAAGAGAAAGGAAATTAACATGACCTAAAAACCGCTCAGGGGCAGTGTGTCATGTCTCCCTTGCAGTGCACTCTATTGACACAAAGTGTGCTTCTAATTGTTGCACCTGGTGTGTCTGGGTTATTCCCTGATTAGCTCACAATGCCCAGTAGAACAGCTTCACCTCCGCCCTACAGGGACTCCATTGGTAACTGCAATGAGGGAATTCCAAAGACTTATTCTTCTGTTTCACAAATAGATTTGAAAAAGAGCACAAATAAACATGTCCCCACAGTTGGCGTTTCCAAGGGAAATTTTGGCACAAGTCACGGCTTCATTCTGCATCTTCCACTTTTCTTCATTTAAAGGTTTCAAGAGGAAGTACAGCCATGGAAGTGAAAGCAGCCAGCAGCTTTGTCAGTTTGGTAATTCATAAAAATGACTGGCCCCCCAACAATGTAAAGTATGGTAGAGGGAAATTTACATTTTTTCTTTTTTTTTTTTCCCTTGGAAACCCATCATTTCTCAGTCTCCAAAAGACTGAAAGAAACTGAGTGAGGGCACTAGGATCTAATTTTCACTATTTGTAGTTTTTCAATTTGCTTATTTGATATGAAATATCCAGGTCAGAAATGAAAATCCTGGTAACCCTATGAGATTTTCTGTTTCTCTTCAGGATAGACAATTCTGGATGCTTTTCATAAGTACTAAATGTTTGACTGTTGAAGAGACACGTATAATAAGATTCCTTTTTAATTGTAAATGAGATAATAGAAAAATGAGACAAATGGAAAAATAATGATGGTGACTCAAAATTTTCAGAGGTTATTTTATACTATAGAAAATTTTCCTTGTCAGGCTAAAGACAAAACTGAATTATGCTGCTTAAACTTCCTTAATTTGTTCATGGAATCATGAAAAGATAACTAAAGCTCCCACTGATAATATTCTTCAGCCTCTTAATTCCAAATAGGTATATGTGTATATATGTGTGTGTGTGTATAGGTAGATAGATAGATAGACATGGAAAAGATCCAAGCACGTAATAGCCCTTGACCTAATTAGGAAAATAAGGTGTATCAATTATGGGTTTAAAGTTGTCAAGAAAGCAGGGTAGGCTCACTCAGGACAAAACCTCCACCTTGGAAATTAAATGACTTGCCATCAGTGTCCATTAAGGCCATTTTTTAGAGGAAATATTTTAGTCAGTCTTCTTGATGCTTGTGTTGTGTTTCCAGGGCTCCTCATGTGTATATACTTTAAAAGATAAATTTTTGGGGTGCCCGGGTGGCTTAGTCGGCTAAGTGTCTGCCTTCGGCTCAGGTCATGATCCCAGGGTCCTGGGATCAAGGCCCGTGTTGGGCTCCCTGCTCAGCAGGAAGTCTGCTTCTGCCTCTCCCTCTGCCCCTCCCCCCTGCTTGTGCTTTCTCTCTCTCTAAAATAAATAAATAAAATCTTTAAAAAAAAAGATAAATTTTTAAAGCTAATTTTTTCTTGTTCTATTCTCAAAGAATATGGAAAATAAGTCACCATTCTCCCTGATGCTGAACCATTAAGACACATATTGCCTATGGACCTATTTTAAAGTTAAAGAATACAATTTTGGTAAATAGGTAAAATTTTTGTGTTTTAATCAGCAAGAAGTATATGTATAAAATTGTGTTATTCATTTTATTTTGAGAAACAATGAATTTACACATCAAATTATAGGCAGATTGTTTCTTCTAGGTGATCTAAGAGTGTGCATTCACTTCTAAAGATCTTGGGATCTCTTCTTTTGCATTTACTTTTAGGCAAAATTTTTAGGTCATAGAACAAAATCAAACAAATTATTTAAAGGCCACATCAAATATTCCATATGCAATGTTGGTAAAAATTATAAAATATTTTCTAACATATCAAAAAGAAGGGCACCTGAACATGAAAAAAATCTATTTAAAAAAGCTTATTGTGCTGGTATACCTAACTTTATTCATTTACAAAAAATCTTTTAAGTAAGAGAGAACGAGAGAGAGAAATCACTCTCGATGGATGAATCCAAATATGGCCAAAAATATTCAAAAGCATATGCTACATAATCCAATATTTTTTCTCTATTTTACAATACAGAAAATCTGTAAAATAAAATTTGCTTATGATTTATTCCTATTTTGTTCGTTACAATATTTATCGATGCCTACTAAATGCAATAATAGTATTATTATTCCTGTTTCTCTCCTTTTCTCTTCTTCACTATCAAAACTCTTATGACTTTCCTTAAATATATATCTTTGACCATATATGAATATTTATAATTGTATAAATAGGATGACCTTATATATTGTGTCTTTATCACAAAAACTGTTTTGGAAGTACTGTTTAATTCTCCCTCTGCTTTATTACTCTCCTATCACCTACAGCAGACAATAAATATTAACAAGCTAGGGTCTATCATTTCACACAGTCTTTATGTTCATATGGTTATTTGCAAATGTATATATGTGCATGTATTTATAGATATACAGAGTGAGAATTTTAAGATTTTGGTCCCTGTTTGTTTAATGGGATAATATTAAAAACATTTCTATGCATCTTAGTTTTCTCACATTCCTAACAATTGTGGAAATTTCTTTGAGAAAAATGGTAGAGCCATAACATTTTAAATGACTGCCATAATATTGATTAGTATGATTATACCAGGATTTGTTCAACCATTGCTTCATCCTGTTGGTTTACATATTATTTCCAGTGTTTTGCCACCATGAACAATGCTGCAGTAGACTTCTCTCCCTATGAAATGATGTGCTATTGCTACAGAATGGATTGAAGGCGTGGATCACTGAGTTGAAAAGTATGTGTATTTTTATTTTCAAAAAATATTGGCAAATTGTTTTTCAAAGTCTTAATAATTTACATTTTTACCAGTAAGTGTGAGAATGGCCATTTCCAAATTCTGACAACCAATAGATTTTGCTAATCTGAGGAATGAAAAATAATGTCTTATTTTATTTGCACATCTTGAGTAGTGGGGAAGGTGAGCATCTTTTCCCACATTTATTGAATATGTTGATATATTCTTCTGTGACTTGCTCTTTCAATTCCATTTTTATTTTTCCATTGAATTACTTGACTTTTCTTACCAATTAGTAATATTTCTTGGCATCTGATAGATACTAATATTTTACCTATTATATTAATTATACATATTCTTCCAAAGTTTTAGTCATCTTTTACCTTGTGAAAGATTTGATACATACTCTATTTTCATGAATTTAAACATTAGATTAAATATATCTATATCTTTCTTTATTATGGCTTTCTTATATTAGTCAAAGTTTTTTTTTTCACTTTATTTATTTATTTGACTTAGAGAGAGAAAGAGAGGGAAAGCACAAGCCGGGGAAGCAGCAGGCAGAGGGAAAGGGAGAAGCAGCCTCCTGGCCGAGCAAGTAGTCTCATGTGGGGCTTGATCCCAGTACCCTGGGATTATGACTTGAGTGGAAGGCAGACGCTTAACCGACTGAGACACCAAGGCACCTCTAGTCAAAGATTTTTGTTATATATTTAAATTATATTTATTTTATGAATTTTTTTAGAATGTTTAAATTGTTTTTTTATTTTTTACTTTTAAGTCCTTGATCCAGCAGCAATTTTAGATTTTATTTATTTTTATTTTTAAAAAGATTTTATTTTTAGAGAGAGAGAGCGAGAGCAGGGGGACAGGCAGAGGTGGAAAGAGAATCTCAAGCTGACTCCATGCTAAGTATGAAGCCTGAAGTAGATGACCTGAACTGAAATCAAGAGTTGGACGCTTAACCAACTGAGCCACCAGACACCCCGATCCAGCCGCAATTTTAATACAAGCATAGAAAAAGAAGCCATTCTTACTTTTTTTTCCCAGATAGACAAATATAGTCACAATATTTATTGAATAAATCAACATTCTCAATTGAAAAATCATCCATGTACTATGTTAAATTCCAATAAATATATTTGAATCAATCTTTGGAATCTTTATTTGGTTTTACTATTATATTTTCCTATTTTCATGTCACATTACATTCTATTAAATGGCTTTATGTTCTAACACCACTGCATACTTGACTTTCATACAGTTCATATTTTCCTTGTCTCTTCAAAATACTTTTATAAGAATTTTATGCTTATGCTATCACATTAAAAAGCAATTAGGGTTCTAACTAAAAATAAATTGAATTCTACTGACATATTTATAATACTAAGTATTCTTATCTGAGAACATATTTTGGCTGTCTATTTCTTTAGAAATTGTATAATATTCTTTGGTAAGTTTTTACAATTTTATTCACATAGGTTTCACATATTTTAAAAATATTTCAATGTATTTTAAAGTGTATGGCTATTATAATTGATATAGTTCCCTCTTTCTTGTTTGCAAAGGAAAAAAATCTAGTAATTCTTTTTGTATCCATTCTTCATCTGGTACTTATTAAAGTCATAATGTTATTTAATTATAACAATGTAACATTAGAAAAAATATGAATTTATTTCCTACAATTATCATGACATTTCCTTATATCTTTATTATATTACTTTCATATCTCAGATGTATTGCAGTTTCTAAAAAAATACCATACAATAATGGTCAGAGTAAGCATTTCAATCTGTTTTAATTTGAGGGAGATGCTGCATCATTTAGAATGTATGCTATTGGTTTTGATAACTAATCTTTAGCATACTTAGTTTTTAAAATATTTTTGTTTTTTTACAGAGAGAGCTCACATGCACACATGAGTTGGGGGGAGGTGCAGAGGGAGAGAGAGAGAGAGAGAGAGAGAATCCTAAGCAGGCTCCATGCCCAGCGCAGAGCCCCATGAGGGGCTCGATCTCACAACCCTGAGATCATTACCTGAGCCGAAATCGAGTTGGACACTTAAGCAACTGAGCCACCCAGGTGCCCCTAGCATATTTTAAAAAAGTCTATTTCTATTTTTAAAGATTTTAAAATTAGAGGATGATTATTCAATTATAATCATTTTTTTCCAAATAAAAAAATAAGCCCACTTCTCTTATACAGTATTGAATTCCATAGATATATGGAATATATATATATCCCCCCTAATTTTTAGGAACAGTTGCCCAAATACATACTGTTTGTAAAGAACACTCAAGTGTAAAAGTAAACATTCTGATTAAAGGGATATATATAAAAAAAGAAGATACATTTACTTTCAAATAAAATGTGATTATTTTCATGGTATTTTATGACTGTGTTCTTCACTTATTCTTTCATTTCAGTGATCAGCTTCAGTGAATCTGATGGAAACAAAACACAGGTGACTGAGTTTGTTCTCACAGGACTTACAGATCGTCCAGGGCTGCAGGTCCCCCTGTTCCTGGTGTTCTTGGTCATCTACCTCACCACCATGGTGGGCAACCTCGGACTGATTTTTCTCATCTGGAAGGACCCCCATCTTCACACCCCCATGTACTTACTCCTTGGCAGTTTGGCCTTTGCAGATGCTTGTTCCTCATCCTCTGTGACTCCCAGGATGCTAATGAATTTTTTATCTAACAATCATATGATATCCCTGGTTGAATGCATCACCCAATTTTATATTTTTGCTTCCAGTGCAAACACAGAGTGTTTCCTCCTGGTAGTGATGGCCTATGACCGCTATGTAGCCATATGCAACCCCTTGCTTTATCCAGTGGTGATGTCCAATATATTCTGCATTCAGTTATTAAGTGTTTCATATATTATTGGGTTTCTTCATCCTATGCTGCATGTTAGTTTGTTATTTAGATTAACTTTCTGCAAGTCCAACGTAATACATTATTTCTACTGTGAAATTTTACAACTGTTTAAGATTTCCTGTACTGACCCTAGAGTTAATATGCTCCTGATTTTTGTATTTTCAGTCTTTATACAATCTTTCACTTTTATGACAATTATCATCTCTTACTCCTATGTCCTCTTCACCATTCTGAAAAAGAAGTCTGAAAAGGGCAGGAGCAAAGCCTTCTCCACGTGCAGTGCCCACCTGCTATCTGTCTCTTTGTTCTATGGCACTCTCTTCTTCATGTATGTGTGTCCTGGGTCTGGACGAGCTGAAAATCAAGATAAAATGTATTCTGTATTTTATACAATAATAATTCCCCTGCTAAATCCTTTTATTTACAGTCTGAGAAACCAAGAGGTGATAGGTGCCTTGAGGAGAATAATAAATACATAAATAGTTTTTTTAAGATTTTATTTATTTATTCATGTTAGACAGAGAAAGAAAGAGAGAGGCAGAGGGAGAAGCAGGCTCCAAAGAAGCAGGGAGCCCGATGTGGGACTCGATCCCAGCACCCTGGGATCATGACCTGAGCCAAAGGCAGACGTTTAACCATCTGAGCCACCCAGGAGCCCAATATATAAATAGTTCTTAAGACAAATTTTAAACTTGCTCTTTCCAAACTCTACAAAATACAAGCGATCTGAAGTTATGCAAATTAGCCCTGGCTTTATAGTTTTAGTAAAAGGCAATGACTAGGGCAGTTTCTGAGTGCTGTGGGATGAAAGTCAACTTCAGTGGATATTTGTTTCAGTGGAAGATGATCTTAATATCACACAAAACTGAATTCTTTATGAAAAATAAAACATCTTTTTAAAATTAAATATTTAGAATTTGTGCTTTTTTACTCTTTGTAAATTTCCTCTAAATTAGATATAATAGTTTAAAATTTTATTGTGGCAGACATTTGCATGTTTCTTTGTTGAAGCTGTTGTGACTGAGCCAAGACAATTGTCTAGAGTCTACATCTTAAAAGTCTTGCTGCTCTTCCAGTTTGCATTCCCACCAACAGTGTAAGAGGGTTCCCCTTTCTCCATATCCTCGCCAAAATCTGTTGTTTCCTGTGTTGTTAATTTTAGCCATTCTGACAGGTGTGAGGTATCTTAGTGTCATTTTAATTTGTATTACCCTGATAATCAGTGATGTTAAACCTCTTCTTATATGTGTCAGCTCTCTGTATGTCTTTGGAAAATTTTTTACCTGGGGCTTAGACTCACAACCCTGAGATCAAGACCTGAGCTGAGAGTTGGATGCTCAACTAACTGAGCCACCCAGGTGCCCTGGTTTATTTATTTTCTGCATGTTGAGTTGTGTAAGTTTTTTATATATTTTGGAGACTAACCCTTTATAAGGTACGTCATTTCCAAATATCTCTTCCCATTCCAAAGGTTGCCTTTTAGTTTTGTTGATTGTTTCCTTCACTCTGCAGAAGATTTTTATCTTGATGAAGTCCCAGTAGCTGATTTTTGCTTTTGTTTCCTTTTCTTATCTAGTAAGAAGTTGCTACACTTGAGGTCAAAGAGATTGCTGCCTATATTCTCTGGGATTTTGTTGGCTTCCTGTCTCACATTTAGGTCTTTTATCCATTTTGAATTTATTTTTGTTTATGTGAAAGAAACAGTCCAGCAATTGCATTACTAGATGTTTACCTACGGGATAAAAAAATACTGATTCAAAGGGATACATGCACCCTGATGTTTATAACAGCATTATCAATAATAGACAAATTATGGAAAGAGCCCATCAACTGAGGAATGGATAAAGAAGAAGTGGTATATATACACAATGGAATATTTCTCAGCCACAAAAAAAGAATGAAATCTTGCTGTTTGCAATAACAGGGATGGAGTTAGAGAGTATCATGTTAAGTGAAATAAGTCAGTAAGAGAAAGACAAATATCATATGATTTCACTCATATGTGGAATTTAAGAAACAAAACAGATGAACATGGGGTGGGGAAGAGACAGGAAAACCATAAAACAGACTCTTACCTATAGAGAACAAACTGAAGTTTGCTGGAGGGAGGTGGCTGGAAGGTGGGGAGGATGTGTTAAATGGGTGATGGGTGATGAGCACCGGGTGTTGTTATGTAAGTGATGAATCACTTAATTCTACATCTGAAACTAATATTACATTGTATGTTAACAAATTGGAATTAAAAAAAAAAACTTGAAAGAAAAAAAAGCTTGCTATTTTTCAACTGTTCAGAGATTCAGGTGAAGTGACTTCTTGGAGGAAACCGTCCCTGAAGAAAGAAAACCTTTGCAGTGAAGAAAATATAAGAGATTGGTGGATTTTACTGAGAAGAATCATAATTGGGATAAAATAAAAAGTAAACTATTGAATAAAAGTATGGCTCAATTGTATGAAAATGCATAGTACCTTTTGTCAGGGAAATTATTGGCAATATTGGTATTTCAGTATTTGCAGGTATTGGAAGATTTCAGGACATATCTCCTCAGATATTAGGAGTATACTGTATCTTTTCATGTTTAATAAAGCAGAAACATAAATTTACGTAGTTACTACTCTTATAATCTCTTACACATTTACTATTACTCAAGTAAAAATAATTTAGTTCTTTGGTTAGACAATGCAATATGTCTTAATTTGGGTAGGTGCCAATATGGAAGGGTTCTTATTTCTGAAATGATTATGAAAACTTCCAGTGTAATATTTATTTTTCTTTCATTGGCTACTCCACAGGAATGTATAGTGACTTTCTCTGTTGGACATCTAAATTTAAAGGAACTCTGAAGTGGTAATTGTATAATTTGTTTGAATCTGTACTATCTTTGGCTACCTATTACTGTTGCAAAATCTCTAAGTGATGGCCTGATATTGCTAAGCTGTAGGGAAGAATTAAGAGGAAGAATCATGTATACAGAAAATCTGATGAATAGACATAATAGGAATGCAAGGGCGAAGGATGCAAGGCCAAGACTGAAGTCAGCTCTGCAGAGCTCCTCTGGCCTGTTTCAGACTTTTGAAAGGGCTTTTTACAGGGCACAAAGAGAACATGAACTTAAAATGATTACATCAATGTGATGGGCGATCTAAACAGGGAGTGACAAGAAGACTGTACACATTGAAGCCAATTGAATTCAAAATTTCTACAAATCAGATACAGTATTGGGAGAAAATGGTCCTTGTCATAGAAATGGAGGGACTTAATAGAGTACCTTTGGTGATGATGGAGATTTAAATGCCTATTCTAGCCATGTTTCTGCAAGGTCCTCTGTCCTCTCCAACTAGGCAAGGGGAAAGATTTAGATTTGTGAATAAGGACACTGTTACTTCAAAATACAGGTGCTGTGAAACCATAGTAATATTCAAACTCATCAGAAAATTTCATATATTGGAGTGTTTATCTTTTAAAAGTATTTTAGGAGAGAACCTCCTACTGAAGGGATCTATGGTATGTTTACATCTTTTAAGCTGTTGATTCTAGAATCCGCAAGTCAGGATCAGTCTGAAATACAGATCATCAAGCCATTTCCTAGAGACAAATGAAATCTTGCATTCCTAAGCTTAATAATCTTCAATGGACAGCACTTAAAGCATCCCAACCATAAGCATATGTTTGTGACAAACGGTCCCAGACTCCAGAGGTAAAGAGCATATCTACGACCTTCTAGACAGAGAGACTGGGTTACTGATAAAGGAAAGATAAATACAGCAATGTTTTGTCTGCTGCACTGAGAATACAAAAACAATGGGACAACATTTATAAACTGTTGAGAAAAAAATACTGGGTTCCATGAAGAGTATTGAGACAAACTGTATGCAGAGCAACTGTGCATGGCCCTGCAGGCTGAGTGCACTGCTTAACTCAGAGGCAGTATTCATGACACAATATTGTGTGGCTGCCTGCCTGTATGAGACGCTCTAAGCAATGAACCAGTAGATGATGACAGTATGACTGGTAACTGTATTATAAGCATTCAGTTAGAGTTCAAAGACAATAAAATAAATTAAATAATATCCCATCACTCTTTTAGTGGAATTTTGGCAAATATCAGAGGATACTCCCTTTTAATTAAGAGGCCCTATGCTAAGTGTTATGTAGTATAAACTGTGTCCTGTGACTCACTATGAGACAGTGTTTTCTGCTTTTCTAAGCCTATAAAAGCAAGTTTAATCATTTCTTTGGTTGTATTTTGGAATGACCACAACTTTAGGTTTTTGAGAATGGGCAGCTTGAGAGACAGATATTCAGACCTGCTATAATAGCTAGCATTGAATGGCTCATACACTGTAAGTCACAGATCACACTGCTCATTGATTCCTATCACAGATACTGTGGATGGTTGCCCATATCTTCTCTATTTGTACTTTTGCATCTGACGGCTCTCTCTGATGGCCAGAACTATTCTACCCTTACTTAAGGCAGACTAGAAGAACTGGGAAATGAATGTTCTAGGATCTCCTCCAGACCATCTATTAACCAATGACTGATGGTAGTTGGTGAATAAATATCCCCAATCATTTGCCCTTTGGTTGATATTAACTTTTTGAAATTCGTGGCCTCTGGTGTTTCCAAAAAATGATTAAACTTGGCTGCCCAATTTTGGTTTATAAATTACACTTTATTGGGTACATTTCCTTTCCTCTCTCACTTCCTCATTTTCTCACTCATCAACTATTCACAAAAAAATTATTTGCACTCAAATCATGTTTCAGAGTCTGGCAAAACACGAACTAAGATGCCCCTGCTCCCTTAAGGTGGTACTGTATATTTTATACAGGAACCAGGCATACCTGTACTATCTTATTTCAATATGACATAATTATTACTTGGCATAATATTATTTGAAGATAGACTGTGATTAACTAAAGTGATATACTGTATAAACTAAGGGAACCACCAAAAAATAGACAATGTGTAAATAATAAGCCAAATGTGGATATAAAATGAAATCACAAAAAATCTCTATTAATCCAGGGTGCCTGTGTGGCACAGTTATTTAGCTGTCCAACTCTTGGTTTTGGCTCAGGTCATGATCTCAGGGTTGTGAGATCAAGCCCCAAGTTGGGCTCTGCGCTTAGCGTAGAGTCTGCTTAAGATTTTCTCTCCCTCTGCCCCTCCCCTCCACTTGCTCTCTCCCTAAAATAAGTAAATAAATCTTTTTTAAAAAGTCTCTATTAGTCCAAAAGCAGGCATGAAAAGAAAAAAAGGAGAATGAAAAACAGTTATAATGGACAGAAAAATATCTATCATGTTAGTTAAAATGATAGTTTTTAATCCAACCACATCAATAATTTCATTAAATATAAATGGTATTATATATCAAGTATAAGACAGATTATCTGATTGGATTCAAAAGCAAGATCTAACTATATACAGTTCAGAAGGAACACACATCAAATATGACTTAATTAAATTAGAAGTAAA